GTTTTACTGCGTATGTTTGATGTAATCTGTTAGGAAGAAAATAACATTCTGGTATATCATATCAGTACAAAAGTAGTTAAATAACATGTACATTATTATATTTTTACATTATTCTGACATAACACAATAGAAGTTTAAATCACCGATAGTGTGAGACAAATTTATGTCAAAAACAGTTTTAGAAGCCATACTTGTTCATTTGTTTATTTATAATTTCCTACCTCCATTCCTCATTTTACTTTTTTTTTCACTTTTTTCGTTTAATAATTTCCTTCAAATTTCCAAATCTAATTTGGTCGACTGTTCAATAACTGTCATAAAATAAAATAAGCTTGATGAACATCATAACTTCAATTCCCCTTTTTTTAATACGCTGATCTTCATGATAGTTGAAAACATTTAAAGAATTGCACTAAAAGCTAGAAGAAATTCAGTGAAAAAATACAAAAAACTCGAAGGAATCGTTTGAAGAAATACTAAAATCTCAGGAGATAATTACAAACAAAAAAACAATTAAATATTTGAAAAATAATTTCGGAATGGAATACTAAAAACTCACTGGAACTGCGTGAAGAAATATGGATCGTCACTGTCTTAAAAAGAAAAACAGATGCAATTTCATAAAGCAAAAACAGAAGGAAAAATCTCTAATAAACTAATTTCATTCCACTCATTAACTAAAAGGCAAAGCACATTAAACTGTCACCATCAAACCAATTTCGAAATAAATTCTTAACACATTAACTTCTATTAACATAAAGATAAATAGAATGATTTCTCTTGCAAATATTAATTAAGTTCACGTTCGAATTTGCGCACGATTTTCGCCAAAATTAGCAACACTTTCCCTCTTCTCCCATAGACGGAAGGGCGTTTCCTTTAGCCACGAAATGGGATCAATCCACTCCATCCCCTTTATTCCACCGATTTCATCCCCTGTCCATCATACTAGTACAATTCACCCCATTGATCGCCGAGCGTGATGTACGCCGCCCTGGTCCGAAAATCATTCACGCATCTATAGAACTTACAATCCATAAATACTACGATTTGTGAGGCTCGCGTAAGAGTGGGGGGGATATTTATAGCGGGAATGTTCTTCAACTTATTCTTCAATATCGATAAGAAGCGGAAGATGACATAATGATTGTGAATGAAAAATTGAGTTTGCGAACGCAGTAATTGCTTTCTTTTCATAGCCTGACTTCACCGTTTATGTTCGACAAAGAAAGGAGTATAATTTAAGGATGTAAAATGTAAACCAAATCGGATATAAATAAATAGAAAATTGCGCGCATTGAGTGAGTTATAATTTAATTTTCGATGATATTTTTCAAAGGTATCTAAGCATTTAATTAAGTTACTATATAGGAAACAAAATCTAGCATAAATTACAATAATCGACCAAACTTTTATCGATATATATATATATATATATNAAATCTTTTTAAAACTTTTGATGCAGATACGGTTTTGTCTGCTATATATATATATATATATATATATGGGATGAAATTATTTGCTACTTTTTGTTCTTTTAGCCAATATTGAAATCTTAACAAGGAGATGATAAATGAAAATGAAATAATTACTGATTAATTATTACTGATTAATTATTATATTACTAAAATAATTACTGTTGTAACGTGAGACCTGAGATATTATGATTGCAATGTATTTTTGACGTATTCTAGATCCAAATGCTTAAGATGGAACTGTTATTTTATGAATCTAAAATAAGTAAATCGAAAGAGGGGATCAATTTTATGATCCTACAATTTTTAAAATGGGAAATTTCTGTACTGAAAATTTAAGTGTTATGCTAATTGATCTAAGAGATGAAATGTTAGATAAAATTACGCAAATGGATCGAAGCATTCAAATAACAATTAAATCTAACAGTACAAAAAAAAGTTAAAGTGACACAAATAGATATATGAACCGAATAACAATAAAAATGGATCTGAAAATTCAAAGACAAATAAAAATGGAACCAATTATGAATTCAAAAAGAAATTCAAATGGTGCCAGTTATGAATTTTAAAAAAAAATATTTACATTTTGCGAATTATTGATTCAAAAAGAAATTAAAATAGAGTGAGCGAATCTAAGAGATTAAATAGTTATTAAAAAGCAATGAACCATAGAACGAGATTAGCAGTGACGAGCATATCTGAGAAGGAAATCGCAATTAAAATAACGCGAATCTATATAAGAACTCAAATAGAAATTAAAATGGTGCTGATCGTTCCAGGAATTCCAATAACAGTTAAATCTAGGGACACGAATACTTATTAAAACAATTAATAGCAATTATTCAAAAAAATTCTAAAATCAATTAAAATGGCGCTATCGAATCTAAAAATTAAATGCCAATTTAAAAAGTATGAATGGATCTAAGAACTCAAATAGCAACTAAAATGGTGCAAATAGATCCTAAGAACACGAATAGCAATGATTTATTTTGACAAGGCAGCAAAACTTTGATTAAATAATAAAGTTCTGTCACGTTTACTAACTATCAAGACATGGCATACTTTCATCAGTTAATGGAATTACATTTTTCCCTTTTGAAGGTACGTTTTTTTGATGTTTGCTAATTTGATGATTCCCAAAATAGTTGGGATGCATATTTTTTTTTAAATTGAAGCAAATAAATAAAATAGTATGAATTGAAAGAAAATGTGAATGTTGCAATTAAAGTTTTCGATTTTTATTTAGTAATCTTTGGTTATGTAAATGCAAAAAAGTATAAAGGTCCATTCTAACATACAAAGTAAGAAGACGTTCACATTGTGAGCAAAAAACTCGTTTTATGTATTTAAAAAAAAACTCGTTTGAGGTATACTATGCATTTTAGAGCTAAATAAGACATGTTAATACTGAAATCGAAGTGTTTTTATGACAGATGAGCCATATGGAATAGAACATCTGCCTATTCCAAGCGTATAGTTACGATATTGATTGTGCCTCTTTAGAAAAGGAGCCAGGGTGTATTTTAATACCCACTGTGCCTCTAGTTAACTTTTGCAGCTGCCTTGAAATATATACCAGGGAAATTTCTTTTTTTTTTTAAATCTCAGCATAAGCTTGCAAGATTATCTTGCATCGACGTAAATTTCTCAGTCTTTACTCCATCAGTAAAAATCCGTAACAATAGGTTTCTAAAATTCAATTATTAAAGCATTTTCGTTTAAAGAAAAATTTTAACGTTATTGTTTTTCCTATATTTTTGTAATTTATAATTAATATTAGAATTGTATTTCGAGGCAAATGTATTACTTAGTGTTTTTTTTTAATGTTAATCATATGAAAATTATTATATTGGCGTGGATTTATTTTAAATTTCATTCCTTTCGTACTACGGTTTTTAGTAAGCTCTCAAATGACTACTAGTTATATGAAAATATAGTAATAATATTTAACGTAAAATTACTGAATCAGTCTATTTAAATATATATATATTTTTGCAAAAATTGCGGAATAATATTTTACGGTGAAAATAGATTTCGCAGTAAAATGGGTTTTAAGAATGATGTACACAAAGTGCCGGTATGTTTTAAAGCAATCTTTTTTTTTTTTTTCTTTTTTTTTCTTGAAAAAAAAATCCTGGTTTGAAATAACTAAACTCCGTTGCAAGTTAAGAAAAGACCATTGCGGTATAGAATTTAAGTAATCATCCGCCTCTGTATATAGTTCCGGTTTATTTCGTAATAAGATTACATAAATATGCTTTCAAAACAATATAAAAGCTTTTAAAAGTTAAACATGTCAATCAGAAATTTAATTCGTGCTATCTGTTACAATATATATCATAGAATTATTGAAAAAAAGGGGTTATAGTTTCATAGTCTAACTGAAATCCTAGACTTGAAAAGAAGACATATTTTGATAACAGAGCATTCGTTCTTAAAAAAGAAACAACTATATGACGTTGCAAGAGCATTAGATTTGATTGGACTGCAGAAAATGGCGCGTCTTATGATGACTTATGATGCTTTTAACAAATCAAATGCGAGATAAAGAAATTTTATTTTTGTTTCGGCCTAGGGGAAAATCGTCTGCAAGAAGCAATATTTATTATTCTTTCATCAGTTTCTCTAAGTGTGAATAGCAAGATGTATATTTGTTACGATTTTTAGATATATTATTTCATTACTTCTTATTACTTGTTAATTGATTATTGCTGTTAATAAGGAAGTATGCAAAAAGGAGTCTGCGCAACATCGTTTCGTTTCAAGAGTTGGCGATGTTGATATACGCTCGTGCTCGGAGCTTGGCATCCATTTGGCGTGTACTTTATATGCAAACAGGCTCTCTCCATAGGGATAATGTTTTTTTTCTTAGCTTGCAACAGAGTATAGTTGTCAAAAAGTATACACATCAGAAATCGCAAATGAGTAAATAAACGCAGAGAGCACAAAAACGTTATTGAAATATAATGAATGACTGCAAAGAAAGGCAAAACTGTAAATATCAAAAGCATTTTGATTGCCAAAGCTTGCAAACGAAGATTCTTAGAAACACTGCAAACTGAGATTCTTAAGAAACACCACATAAAACAATAAAAATGATTTTGATGCTTTACATTACAAATTCAGAAATAACTCGACTGATTTCGATAGTGCTTTTATTTTTTCTCGCTTAAATATTTACATGCCACCTTTGATGTGTATATATATTTGTTTTAATTACTGACAAAAACTTGAAACTTGACACAATTTTAGATTTTGGTAGTTTTTTAAATTTCTCCTTATGTCTATAACATTCAAAATTTTTGACTGAATCAAAAAAAAAGAAGAAAAAAAAAGAAAATCAGATTGGTTACTTCAGTTTTGGTAGTTCTATTTCACAAGAACAAAATAATTAGTTATTAAAGAATTCGCTTCTTGGGCATTGTGTGGCATATCAAAATATTTCTCTTTCCTTTTAATACCGAGATCTTAAATAAAGTTTTAAAAACAATGTTTGGCTTATCCTTTCTTTTTTTATTCGTACAGGTGTTCCGGAACGTCTCATTGTAGTTTTAACTTGACAGAAGATCATCCCGACAGAGAATGTTTTTGTAAAGGAGTCATTATTCTTGTCTATTCCTGTGTTAAAGGTAATTTTTAATTTTTATACCGAATTCAAATTACAAAATTGAATTCGATGTCTAAAAAATTTGTATACATGTTGAATTTTTGCAGGGTTCGTAGAAATAATTTATTAGCCTTTTTGCCTAACAGCACCTTGCATGCATATAATGTCGAAATCTGCCACGATGTGGCTTACTGTGAGAAAATTTCCTTCAAAATTTTGTTATTATCAAAAATATATTTAAATGACTGAAAAGGTATACTTAAATGACTGAAATTTATTTTAACTAACTTTCAACAATTCAAATTATTATATACTATTCCCCTTATTTATTGTAATTTTTTTGAATTCAAATTTTTCTTTAATAAAAAATTTTTCATAATTCAAACAATTTCTACATTGTATTTTTCTACCAAAAACTTTTTCTAGCTCAATGCATTTTAAAGGTATTTTCCTCGGATAAATATTTTGAATAGCTCCTTAAAAGTGTGTTTCATGTTTTTATCAATGCAGTAAAAAATAAATTTTTTTTTTTAAGTAAATTGCATTTAAAAAAATAAAAAATTAAGAAAATAGCGTGATTTTGACAGAGGTAAATGTGTTATTATTTATGTATAGTGTATTATCAACAGCGACCTTTGGCTTTGTTTACTTAAAACGTGTGCAACTAAAGCAAACATATTTTATGATTTGCATTAGAAAGGCATTATTGCGTGTCAGTAAGTTTGCGAGGAAAACTACTCCAAATCTCATAATTCCGTCGTTTTACATTACTACACTAAGATAAACATTCTAGTAAAAATACCGAACTGTTTGGCAATAACATTTCTGATAAATAAAAAAAAACAATTTTGATTAATAAATTGCAGGATTAATACAGGATTTAAATCATTTATTTCGTAATTTTCTCCGTTCGATTTACAGGAAATTCTACTCTACAAAATTATAGTTCTTATTACCACTCATTTAGTAAAAAATACAAAACTGAAAAGTAAATTTAACCGAATAAATGGTTTTTATGCCTTGTTCTAAGGTATCATGATAAAATTACCGAATTTTACCATATTTACCAACTTTTGTCGCATTTTGTAAAAATGTATTTTATTGTTTATTTCACACCCAAAGCGCTTCGGTAAAAATTACCGAGCTTTATAATGTTTCCGGACAGACAGAAACACAGTAAATTTTATCATATTCTGGTAGTTTTGACCATAATTTTTTTCACAGTGTATACTTAAGTAAAATATCTTTTGCCCTCTATTGATGTATTTTTAGTTTTGAATCAAGCAATGTTTTCTTTTACGGTTGACTTACCGGTTTTGTTGACAATAATTTTCCTCGCGTGATATACCTATTAGAGTAACATTTATCTAGAATAATATACTCCTCAATGGAAAAAATTCATTAGCTTAAAAAATTATGGTGAAAAGTAATCGCCATGTTTCGGGAGCTCGAAATAAGGCGCAAATAATCAAAATCACCAACACGTTAAACTATTTTGTATATTCTAGTAATATATTAGTAATATTTTTTTTCATTTTGTAATAATGTATTAATAATATTTTGTTTAATTGTGTAGTAATATATTAATACTACATAGTTCACCTGTTTGTGGGTCAGGATAATGAGCACCTTGTTTTGAGTGCTCAAAACAAATCGACGTTTTTCGACTTAATATTTGAAGATAATGAAATTTCAAAAATTAAAGTGGTATATCTTTCCTCCTAAGTTTCTGTGCAATGTTCATTTCACAGAATATATAATATTTAATTATTGTATTTTGTCTACTTTCTCTATTAAAGAAGATTAGGCCGTTGTACCGCAAAACTTCTATTTTTGAGACTTAGAAGTCTGTTTAATGACCAAGTGTAAAATTTTCAGTGATTAGCTGCGTAACAGCTATATTATAACACAAAAATAGAAATTTACCACATTTACATATGTATAATATGTGGCAACATTCTGACTCAAATTTTCTTCACCAACTCAGAGAATACGCTTTTTAGAATTAAATATTATATATATAAATAAATAAATAAATTTTATATA